ACTGCACACTATAGCATTACTGTTACTGCTACTGTGAACAACTGATTAGGAGATTCCATTTTACTGATTTTACGCAGCAATGCCAGGCCGTTCGATTTCGAACTGCGTACCTCCAGCAAATATTGCTTATTCAATATTTACGCACCACCTTTTCGGCCGCTGGCCAATTGGACACCAATTCCATCCCAGACGCCATCTACACAAAATCTAGTGGTTGAATGAAAAGTGAGATATTGTCACAAAAAGCTTCGTTTGCTCCACCGTCTTTTCTATGTGGTCAGCGCACGCTCTTCTCGCACTTCTTATTTTTAATTCATTGTCTATGCACATTGTTATTGAAAAAGGTAGATACGGCCCTTGAAATTCAATATTTTGAAGATATTTCAACTCAGTGTATGTGTGTATGTGTGTGTGTGTGTGTGTGTGCGTGTGTGTTTGTGTGTATGTCCGTGTTCGGGTATTTCAACTCAGCACCCAAGCAAGCTCCGGTGCCAAAATTTTGCCAGTAGGTTCCCCAAGCAAGTGCCACCCCAGCACCGCGGTATGACTCTCACGCACGTCTAGGCTCGCCTATGAGCGCCTCTAACTTTTGGCGGGAAAATCGCTAACTCCAGCCAGGAAACTAGAAAACTGAAACTTTGCAGTTATGTTCCCTGTCCACATAGAACTCAAAGATTTCAAATTCAGCCTCCAGGCATGCGCGTTTCTTATGTACGGCTCCGTGAAGTTTCCTGGCAGGAAAATCGCTAACATGGGATCCTGAAAAGCTAGAAAGCTGAAATTTTAAGGGGACGTTTCCAGTTCATATACAACTGAAATTTGTGAAATCCAGCCCACAGGCATGCGTGGCTCTCAAGTACGTGGAAATTTTTAGCGGGAAAATGACTAATTCGGGAACCTGGAAAGCTGAGAGGCTGAAATTTTCAAGTAATGTTCCCAACACATTTACAACTTAAAGCTATTAAATCCAGCCCCTCTCTGTGCGTGGTTCTCAAGTACGACCTCGTGAAAATTTTTGGCGGGAGAATGGCTAACTTGGTAACTGAGGAAGCTGGAAAGCTGA